AGAGAAAATAACTTTGCACCAGTCTTCTGCTGTCCAATCCTTGTATTTCCTGCAGAATTTCAGTCTGTCCTTGACGTTTTTCTTTGAGAAAAGTGGCTTCTTTGCTGCCCTTCTTGACACCAGGCCGTTGTCCAAAAGTCTTGGCCTCACTGTGCTCTCACACAAGCTCTGCACTGCTGGTGACATGATTCCGTATCTGACTCCTCAGGAGGAGACGGTCCTGGCGCTTGCTGGACACTCTGGGACATCCTGAAGACTTCTTCACTGCAGTCAAGCCTCTCTCCTTGAAGTTCTTGATGATCCGGTAAATGGTTCTTTCAGGTGCAATATTCTTTGTAGCAATTTCCTTGCATGTGAAGCCATTTTGATGCAAAGCAATGATGGCTGCACATGTTTCTTTGGAGGTAACCATTGCTAACAAAAACACAATGATTGGAAGCCCTTCTTCCCTCCTTTTATAGCAATCAGTCTGCTCTTACAATCTAATTAGTATGATAATGATTTTACCTGACTAGTGCTCATTCCCACTTTCAGATGTGCTGCTGATATGATTAGTCAATTACTGTCATTTTGTCAACAAAAAATGTTTTTTGTGAAAATATCATTTTTTGGCCAATGAAGCTTTTAGCAATTATTTAAAATGCATCTGATCACTCTACACAACAATCTAGAAACTATGTGAATGAACACCACAACAGCTTAAGCAGCAAACTTCGCAAAACACAAAATTGATATCACTGCCAAAACCTTTGGCCATGACTGTAGATACTAAATCGGTTATCAGGTGATATCAGAATTTTCTTTTAATTGATCAGTATCTGTATTGGCTATTTAATTGTGCATGCTTATTTTCCATTTAGGTTACCTTGCTGTCATCTAACAGCAATGTTTAAAAACATTATTAATTTAATAATGTAAGAAATTAATTCAATAACACTGTTAAATATAATCATTAAATTAAATCTCAGAATGAATATCCATTTTTCATACTTTAAATTATAATATAGCGTTTCCTAAATTCAGTTGTAGCA